ACACGACTTGGGGGTATTTTGATGCAATGATTGGAAGAAATTGTATCTGAAACTATTATTTTTCCAGCAATGTGTAAGGCACCTGGGTAGCCTTGTTTGGATTATTTACGAGTTGGGCCAGAGAAGAAGCGTGTTGATATTAAGTATCGGCAACCCCAAACAAGTTACGGCTACACAAGTTCGCCAGATAAAATTACGCGTTGAAAACACAAATGTATAAACAACAAAGATTTAATAACTTTACAATATTTTAATAGATCTAACACTTTAAAATATAAACTTTCTGTCTAAACTATTGCAACGATTATAATTAAGATTACTTCTATGTTGAAATCTGTGACACCGCCTCAAACCAAACCAAACATGGATACCTCCCCCATCGCAAAATCAAAACTTGTTGTTTTAAATCTAAAAATCTCTAAATCATGTAAATAGCAAAAGGTACCAGCTGACAACCTGGTCTTTGTGTGTGCAAAGTGTCATGAAAGAATACGTATTAGTTTTAGAGATATGGTCTGGACAAACAGACCACTACGAACAGAGTCAAAGTCAAACTTGTTGCCATAGAAACAGCAGATATATATTCTAAACACCCATAAGTAGCAAAGGCACCATTTGACCTCCTGGTCTCTGTGTGTGCAAAGTGTCATGAAAGAATAGTATTAGTTTTAGAGATATGGTCCAGACAAACACACCAGTATGAACAGTCAAAGTCAAACTTGTTGCCATGGAAATGGAAGAAATTTTAGAGAAAAATGTATATTCATAATACTTATCCTATCTCACTCTATGTATTTCATCCTTCCGGCCCCCTGCATAACCATGATCTGATCACCTGACACCCTCTGCCTCATCATTCTCTTTCAGGCTTGTGTAGCTTACGGCGACTTCATAGTGGAAGACTATTGTCTCTACAACACTGAAAAGGTACAGAGACCCATCAAATAATGCTAAGCCCCCTTTATATCTTCACTGGGATGGGTCATACCTAACATATCACAGATTTTTTTCACATATCCAGGCACTTCTAGATTCTAATCTTGGGGGGACTCAGACACAAGGGAAACAACTGGTAATTGGATCTGATGAAGAAGGGGGCTTGATTAAGACTCTCCGAAACTGTTTCCCAACTTCCACACACATTTTTATGTGAACGGCACACAGATCAAAATATAAAAAGACACGTTCGACATCAGGCTGGCGCTTCAGATCAGCAGATACGACTCGTTCATCAGAAATGTTTTGGACCCTCCGGACTGGTGAATAGCAATGATTCCTATCAGTTCGAACTAAATCAAATGGAACTAGAAGACATTGTTTCAACAACTGTTCCCAAAACCCAATTCTTACCTTTTTCTAAAGTCATTAGAACTATAAAAAACTGACATTTTCCTGCCTTCAAAAGAAAGACCAAAAGCAGTTCCGTTACATTGGACTAATAATGCCTGTGAGGGCATGAACAACATCATCAAATTAAGTACCAATTGGAAATCATTGAAAATCCCGAATTTAACTTCACACAATTGTAAAAATCCAGTATGCTGACATGCGCCGTGCCCTCTACGGCCAAGGCAACTACCAACTGACACCGTGGATGACCGGTGTCCCGGTATAAACTCTCCCCCGTACAAATTCTCCCCCCGGAGATTTTATACCAGTACAGATTCTTCCCCGGAGAATCTGTTCTGAAATAAAATCTCCCCCGGGCGGATATATTTCGCGCCCCCCTCAGTATAAAGTCTCCCCCCTGATTATTCGGTTTGTTGCAATGTCTTTAAGTACTATATTCTTTAAATAGTTATCTTTAATGTAAGGCGGGTTACTTTAAAAAATAGATTATGAAATATGGTCATTATGAATTGATATTTCAGCATATTTTATTTGGTAACTGTACCTTCCATGCTAAAATAATTTTAAGACATATATCATACCAAACAAATTTGAATGAAATGACTTAATGTAACAAATACATGTACGGTTACTGTTGTAACTGAATTCAGAAATCTTATTAATCCTCGCAAACATTCGGTTTTAACACTAACTGCGTAAAAACTGTCAACATATCCACGCGCGCCTCCAGCTCAGGGTGTCCGTTATACCCTGATTTAAGATCTAAAATATATTCCTTAATACAGGCTACGATTTGAAAATGGTATCAGTGTAATATCAGTGGCTAGAATATCATGGTGCAACCAGGTTTCTGTTTAACACCCCCACACCTACAAGTAACTAAATGTGTATTTAGATAAATATATAACACTGAAAAAATAAAGGAGAGAAAAAAATAAATAAAAAAATACATAAACAAATAAACTTTAAAACCTTGAGGAATATGAAAAGCCAATGTCTAATGCTAAAGCACGAAGACACGATAAACTGTACCAACATTACAATGTTCCCCGATATGCATGCTTTACCTGGGTTACATACGGGTGATCTAAGTTAGAAATATATGACTGATATAAATTCTTTAAACACGGTAATATCGAATATGCTTGGATTATCTTTTTTTTCAAATGTGCACCATTCAAGAAAATTATATAGAATTATGTATTTACTCTCCCCCATGTATTTTGCTCTTTTATGTAAAAACTTTTTACACCTTACACATTTTAATTACAGATTCCTTTGTTTTGATTTTAATGCAAACAAACCAGGCTTTACAATGTATTCTGTTTCAACAGATTTTTATATATAAATATATGAATGGGGATTGACAAACAAGCTTTACTGGCTTATGTAAAAGCCGCCGCCCTTTAGGCTGAGTTTCCATGTGCGCGGTTTGGGGCACGTTTAGGGAGGCGGTTGAAATGCTATACAACAACTATGCTTAAAAGTTCGGCGACTTAGTTTCCATTGTGCGCGGTTTGGCGCGGTTTCACCAACTGCAAACCGCTAGGGGCTAGCGGTTGGTAAAACCGCGCAAATCGGAACAGTTAATTTATGATGTAGTTTTTCCATTGGCGCGGTTAGGACGGCTCGGCTAAAAAAAAGTCGAACAGTGCTCGATTATCTTGAACCGCGTGGTTAGCCCAGCGGTTCTACCCGAGCCAATGGTAATTTTAAAGAATAAGGCCCAATTTCCTTTGAAAAAAACCCTTGCATAGCGGTTTGACTAATCAGCATTGATTTTTACTCCATAAACTATATCATAAAATATTCATAGAGGTATCAGGGGTCATTTCAACTTGCAAAATGATTGACATGGTCCTTTATAGAGCGAGGATTTGGCTGTTTTCCAACCCGATTGACTGATATCACAACATTCACATGGTTTAGAGTGGTACAATGAATGGTAAAGCATGCAAATTACACTATTACGCGTTATTTCATAAGAAAATATCATATCTCCGTTAAAACATAAAACCAATATTTAGGAGTCCACATATTGATATAAGACTTTATCACTGTATTCAATTCCAAAATTTTAGATATAAACTTTCGGACAGTTCAGTTCAAAATATATCACAGGATTTGTAGCTGGACGACGGGAATCGAGTTGTTACTGTTATTAGTTACATGGTCCTGTGTGTTTAGCGGTAGCGAAAACTAAGATCTGATTTTAATGAGATTGGTGCTGAAACTGATCGGAAGCGGATGGTGTACGATCCTTATATGGAAACGGGCTAAAGGGACAGGACTCTCATCAGGACCCTGACTGGGATGTTTTTGTAAACAAACGCCGTTAAGTTTACGTAATTCGATCAGGTAAGTTTGCTGTTTATTCTTACCACAGTAGTATTTAAGAAATGTATTTTAGCAGGAGTAGGGTGATATTTGTACATAGTTTCACTTGATAATGATGAATATCCGCGATGTTCAACTCTACACTAATTCTTTATTCATGTACATGTGTAGGCCAGCGGCCCATGGTACAATATTTGGTCCATCATAAACATTTATAGGCTTAGCTATAGTGTTTGGAGTCTAACATTAATAGCATGGTATATAAAAGTTGCAACATTTCTAATTACAGTTTCATTGTTTACCGCCATAAGCATATTGAATTTAGCAAGAGTAGGATGTACAAAATACTTCTGTGGTAAATACTGAAGACGAAGTTCATCATAAGCGTTACAAATTAATAAAAAATGATATTCATTCTCGACATATCTTTGGTTGCAACTATTGCACAATCTCTGCTCTCGTGGAGTATTAACGTATCTACCAGTCTCAATATGGAGAGTATGGGAGCTACAGCGAAACTGGGCTAGTGCAACACGAAATTTGTTGATAGTGATAGCAGACAAATACAACTCTAGACTGAATGAATTTTTGAAAAGTGTATAATGGAACATTTTAGAACTATTTGCTAAAGACCAATGCCAGTCCTGTTCGTAAGCAAATTTTAACCGATCTTCACATTCGGAAATAAATGATTCGGGGCAAATAACATATTGGTTCTCCCATATATATCCAAATCCAAGGCTGTATAAAAGAGTTTTGACTTTTGTAGCCCAATTAGTTTTACCATGTGTGGCTAGCTGAAATAACATATCATAACTTTTCTTAGGATATCGTGAATTTGGTAGGGACATAAGTTTACACCAATATTTTATACAGCGTTTATACGCAGAAATGTACAGTGGGTATCTTCCACACTCTCCTCGCACAACATGATTTTTTTGGTGACCTCCCTTGGACAGGGCGGTTGGTCAAAACTTTGGTCCGTCGCATTTTGTAATTTAAGTATCCGCGATGTTGTCTCGTTCACATGTTCATTTCCTGCATGGTTATGTCGATGTGTGTGTGTGTGTGTGTGTGTGTGCGTGTGTGCGCGCGCGCGCGTGTGTGTAGGGGGGTATAGTCTGGAAGTTAATTTAAGGTACCGACGTTTACTACAATATCTGAAAAACTATCGGACCTACTCCAGTCAAAGTTGGTATGAGATTATTAAACAGTCATACATAACTGGATATTATATAAGGACATGGCTCCATTATGACAGGCTCCGCCATCATGCATGATAGCGGAGCTTCAAATTAAGACAAGAGACATAATTGGATGAAATGGTCGCGGATGTGGAGGTACTGGTGGACTACGGCAATGAGCTTAACCCCTGTTAAGCAACCCCAACTGCAGCAACCGCTGCCCTGCAACAACAGTTGCCAAGCAACCCATGTTGCTTACCGATGCAGCATCCGCTGCCCCGCAACTACCGTTGCCAAGCAACCCATGTTGCTTACCAATGCAGCGCCTGCTGCCCTGCAACTACCGTTGCCAAGCAACCCATGTTGCTTACCAATGCAGCGCCCGCTGCCCTGCAACTACCGTTGCCAAGCAACCCATGTTGCTATGCAGCTATCGCTGCCAGGCAAGTACCATTGCCAAACCATGAGCGAGGGCAACTATTGTTGCCAAGCTGACCATCCGCTGTAAAGCGGACACTAAGCCATCTGCTGTAAAGCAGAATGGATAAATTGGTTCCTGCTGTAAAGCGGGTAACCCTATCCTAAATAATTTATAATTTGGGATGTATCCCAAGACGCCAAATGTAACTTGTAATGCAGTCCACCAGCACCCCGCCACAAGCACCAAGGTGCTTCCCCACAACCACGACCATTCGCGCTCATGTACACCCACCATGTTATCCTATACTGAAATTGTTTCCTACAAGCATACTGCGGAAAGGGAGCTGCCAATGTTTTGTGTGAAAAGATCAAGTCCGGCCGGTGACAAATGAACCCCGTCCCGCAGGTACAGTTGCTGCTCCTGCCGGTTGAACACTGTGTGGGGAACCCGTATCCCCCCAAGCTCACGGGCCCTGTTCCCCACTCGTCTGTTCAGCTTCTGCCTGGCCCCGTCCAGGTCCCGGGCACGGCTGGCTACATGCCAGTACCTCCGTGGCAGCATGTCTGACCACAGAATGACAGCACCAGGTAGGAGGAGGTGTATCCTCAGGAGTGCCAGCTTGATCTCATGATATAGCTGACACGTGGTTACCTTACCCAGGTCGTTCGAACCAAGGTGAATCACCACCGCCTTTGGTGGTGTCTGCATTGCTTTGACCTGGGCATCTATCAGCTCGGTCAGCTCCTCCCACCTCATGCCAACCAGAGACATCCCCCTGGAATACCGAAGTCACTGTCCTGTAGGTGCTCTCTCGCCCGGGTCAGGAAGCTGGACCCAATCAACCATACTGAAAACATGAATCAATAGGAAGAAAACTGTTCTTGCATGGTTGGCGATTTAAATGTTTGCAGGTATGCGTATATAGCTTTTATAACATTCTGACCCCCACCTACCAAAGTGCTGTATCAAATCTGAACTCACTCCGTTACCGGCTGCTGTCGTTGCTGCGCCAATCCTGAAGGAATGCGAAGAGTATGCTGCTGTGCAGATGCCGCTATGCGCCAGTGCTCTTTTTAACACGGCCTGAAATTGATACCTGGTCAGGGGAGATTTATCAAAGTGTACGAAAGCTTGAGTCTGACCCTGTGATCGAACTGTTAGGTATGCTTTAACTGCAGCCACTGGACACAGATTGTGGCCAGGTATGGCGGAAATGGAAACAACTATGCCATGTGAGTGCCTGTCCGTTTTTGAATGCCTTAGAGCGACTGTTACTGTCTTAGTCGTGTCTTGGACTTCTAGGTCCAAGAAAGCGCACCCTGGCTGAGAAAGTTTGGTTTGCACGAGTTCACTCACCCGAAAGAAACCAAAGAAGGCCAAGCAATATACTGCTTTGAACAATCTTACTTCATAGGTAGAAGAGCAGACAAATTGCAGGTTGTTTACAATTACTTTGAGCAGGTTTATTGTTATTGGTTTTCTGTGATCCTGCCTCCCCTGACACTTTTGCATCCCCATAATCATTTTAGTAATAACAAAGTGGCCGGTGCGGTCTTCCATGCTGTGTAGCCTATGGTACGTTGAGATACCGGCCATATACGTTCTTACCGTACTCGGTGCATGTCCTGACACTGACAGGTGAGCAATGAAATGTACCAGATGAGTTATTGGAACCGGCCAGACATCTCCCAGGTTTTGTGATGCCCTGAATGCTTGCAACGCTTGGGTTCCTGCCTGGTAAGTTGCCCACGTGTTTGCCGCCAATGATCGCTGAAGGAGCCTCTCTGCCTCGATTGTTAGCCCTGCCAGAGATTGTCTGGAAGTGGTGTGGGATGCAGATTGGCTGATGGAGCTGCATTGCGGAATCGTTCCCACTGAAATCTCGACAGTGCATCTGCGATAATATTGTCGTGTGTTGTTATATATCTGGCCTTGAACAAAATGTTGTGTTTGAGGCACTGCAGCACTAGCTGCCTAATCAGTGACATGATTCTGGGTGCCTTTGAAGACTGTTTATTTATTATTGACACTACCGCTTGGTTATCACAAAAGAAAAGTACTTTCCTGTTAGCAAAGGCTGTCCCCCACAGACAAACTGACAGCACAATCGGAAACAACTCCAGCAGTGTCATGTCACGAGTCGAGCCGTCCTCCACCCACTCACGGGGCCAGAGCCCGTTTGCCCAGTTCCTGTTATAGTATGCGCCGAACCCCACAGTGCTGGCTGCGTCAGTAAACAGCTGCAGACATGTATTGTCAGCCCACTTTTGATTCTGAAAAACCGACACACCGTTAAATTCCCCCAAGAACCCGAGCCAAACCTCTAGGTCCTCCCGAACTCCCCGCGTGATGCGAACACGGTGTGCTTGATGACTTACCTTTGTATAGGCATCAATCAGTCTGCGGCAAAACGGTCTACCCATGGGTATTGCCCGGCACATGAAATTTAGCTTACCCACCAGAGACTGCACAGCTTTACGGGTCACTTTGTGCTTACCTGAGGCCAGCATATCGTGTATGATTGCGTTGATATTTACAATCTTTTCCTGTGGTATTCTAACCTGCATCCTGACTGTGTCGATTTCAAGACCTAGGAATGTTAAGCAGGATGCAGGACCTACTGTCTTCTCATGTGCTACGGGTGCGCCCAGCTCCTGGAAAGTACTGAGACATGTATCAAGGTTGTCACCACAGTCTTTCGTTCCTGCAGTTCCGCCTGTGAGAAAATCATCAAGGTAATGCATGAGTTGGCCGTTAGGCAACTTTTGCTGGACACACCATTGCAAAAAGGTGCTGAATTTTTCAAACACTGAGCATGATATGGAACAGCCAAACGGCAAGCATTTATCAAAGTAGTATTTACCTTGAAAGCACAAGCCTAGCAACTCAAAGTCCTGAGGGTGTACCGGCATAATCCTGAAAGCCGATTTCACATCAAATTTTGCAAGTAGAGCATTTGGACCAAGTTGCTGTACCATACTGACAGCCTCGTCGAACCGTGCATATGACACGGAGCATGCTTCACTGTCTATGTTGTCGTTGATTGATCTGCCTTGAGGATAAGAAAGGTGGTGTATTAAACGAAAATCGTCTGTCCCCAGCAAGGTTTGACTCTTACCCGTTTGCTTTTTGGGTACGAGACCGATTGGTGAAACTTGTAGGTTCAGCAGGGGCGGCGTTTCAAAAGGACCTGCCACCCTACCTAATTTTACTTCCTTTTTCAATTTGGCAGCTACTATCTCTTGTAAAATGGGATCCCTGGCTGAGCGTAGATTCTCAGACCAACGACTTAGGCGTGCCCCACTATATTCCAGTTGAAAACCTGATTCCAAACCTTGTAATAAATAAATGGCATGGGCATGGTTAGAATGCTTGTAGAGTTGCAAATGTCGCTTTAATCTAGTGAGTATGAGTGGAGTTGGGGCCAGTGCCTTTAGCATGGGTTGCCTGTGTGGAGTTAAGTTGTTTGGAGGGTCTACGACCCCCCTTTGCGCGAAAGCAAGAATAGGCGGGATGTTGTTCGCCACAATTGGAGCATTTATGAATAAACTTGCATTCTGGCCTGGCGCACCTTGACCTGTTGTAGTCCCAGCATGCGTTGACTGTAAAGTCACGGCCCCTGCTGAAAGGCACTGTAAAGCGTTCAGTCTTATTTTCTTGAACACGGGACATAGTTGGTGTCATGTGCTTCAACCACAATTCACCGTCTATCTTGCCCCACTCCCGAATTGGGTCTCGTGCCATACGGTGTCGGAATTGCTGGTCGTAGTTTGACCAGCCAAAACCCCCGGAGCGGACTGCGGCATTACGGATTGTTTCCATGTATGCCAACATGCCCTGTATGGTGGACTGACAAAAATGTTTCACCACGTAAATGCTCATATATATGTGGAAAGCTGACGTCCATTGGCCTATGCTTAATGCCCTGGCGTTAGCCGGCTTGGCCGGCGAGAATCGCAGATTACCCGACGAATCCATCTGCATCTTAAATGCATCGTCATCGTCATGCGACTGTGCGCCTGGCAACAATGTAGTCAACTCCACAAACTCCCCTCTCCATACTCTCTCCCGTACAACTTGACGGACGTGAGCGCTGATAGCATCCGCCTGGAAGGTCAGGGAATCCCCTGTTCCCTGATTGGTTGACCCCGCTCCTGACTCTGCACGTGGTGTGACGTCATGGGAAACTCCCGGCTCGCCCAAGTGTGCACTGCTAAATGACAACACATCGGGATTTCTTGACACCACCGACCCCGTTACCCCCAGATCATTGGTACTTACCCCTCGCATGCCAGTAAAGCTCCGAGAAGTATCTTGGGCCATCCGTTTGCCTAGCATATCCAGTATGCTGTTGAGTTGGCTCGATATAGCTAGCATTGACGGAACGGGCGACCCCACTTGTTGGGGCTCTTCGATGTCTCCGTGATCGAATCGCGGGAGAACGTTTGGATTGTCCGAATCATCTGCTTCAACTAGCAAGTTAGCAGCTATTTGTACACTTGGCAAGGGGGGTCCGTGCAATGGAGATCTAGCTGATCTCCGTGACTTACCAGTAGCCGATGTCGCTTGCCGGACACTTGGTTCCCTCCTGGCTATTTTCCCGCTCCTTACGAGGCGGTGATTTAAGGCGGCCCGTCTTTTTGGTGGCATTCTTAATGGTAATTGCAACGAACTATGCAACGAACTATAGATGAATGCGCGAATATAACTAGGTGTTGTACGGCTGAAAGCTGGAGAGCAAGTGCTGCGTGAGCTGATGTCACGCTACAACAGGTCATAGAAAATATAAACAAACGCTCCTTTACCGGACGTGCCAAGAGCGGATCTAGGCCAGAGACGATGGCACCATGCAAAACGGCACGTAGCCGCACGGAATGAAGGTATTTCGCTGTAATAATATTAGCAACTGTGCCAAGCCTAACATAAAGGCATTTAGTTCTAATCACTAAATGCTATTACATTTAAAGACAATCGGTGCATGAATAAAAATGCTGTCTATTTAGCTATCACTATATTTCATCAACAACCAGACCTGTTCGTCAATTTCTGATTCTGCATCAGATGAGCAATACACCCCTGATACTGATGATGTAGATTTTGACATTCCACATCCACCTGTTGAAACTCAAGTGACTGTAGGTCCACCAAATGCCACTCTGGATGATAGTGGAAAGGTCGGTAGTGACCTTCAGCCTCGTCTATCAACAGCTGAGCAAGCAAAAAGACCAGGACATTGTTATGGATGATGCTGATGAAGATTTAGTTGAATTGCAGGCCAGTACCACAACACAAGACACAACTACGGGTGAACAAAAGGAGATCAACAGAAGTAGAAAAAGGAAAAGAGATCCTCAAAACTGGAAAAACAACACAAGAAAACGACGTAGACAGCAACAGAAAGTTTCCCTATGCATATTACGTGTTTATAGGAAGTGAAAGAGTCAGAGTGTGCACAGAATTCTACCTGACTACTCTAGGCATATCGCAAAGGCGAGTTTCCTATTTCTTGGAGAAGAAATACAACCATGCTACTGACGTACCTTTTGGGGGAGACATGAGGGGGACGCGTACACGTGACAGAATATCTTCTCAGCGCAAACAACATGTACGCGATCACATAAACTCATTTCCAAGGATAGAGTCACATTACATTAATGCACAAAAAGAGTATCTGGATCAAAATTTAACCATGGCAACCATGTATAGACTGTATTGTGAGAGGTGTGATGCTGATGGACGAGATCCTGTCAAAGAGCACATGTACCGAAATTTTTTCAATTCCGACTCTAACATCAAATTTCACAAACCAAAGAAAGACGCTGCGACAGATGTGAGGAATATAGAATGAAAGAAAAACATGACTGTATTGATGAGGAACTTCGGGAAGAATACCTGTCACATTTCTAATCGAAGATGGCAACGCAGGAGGAAAGGAACAGGGACAGGCAGGACAAGACAAAACCTGTTATATGTTTTGATTTGGAAAAGGTGTGGAGTTGTCCACAGGCAAATATTTCAAGTTTCTTTTATTGACGAAAGCTTAGCTTTTACAACCTTACAGCCCATTGTTCTGTGGATTCACAAGGATATGGTGGTGTATGGAATGAAACCCAAGCAGGAAGAGGTGCCAATGAAATTGCCAGTGCAATCATTTTAATCTTTCAGAAAGTAGTAGAAAAGCACAATCCAGATCACATCATACTTTGGTCAGACTCATGCGTGGCACAAAACCGGAATTCAGGAATGTCATTTGCTGTAAAGGATTTCATGATGAAAGAACAAATTTCTATCATCGAGCAGAAGTTTTGTGAACCTGGCCACTCAAGTATGTAAGAGTGTGACAACATTCACAGCCAGATTGAACGAGAAATGAGAAAGTCTGATGTTTTTAGTCCTCTTGGAATTATGCGATGTATGAAAAGGGCCATGAAAAGCAAACCGCTTTCGATAATCCAAATGCGAGATGATCACTTTCATAGATATATTGAAGGATCAAGAAAACTTAATTTTACGACAGTGCCATACACCAAGGTCAAAAACTTGGTATGCTACAAAAAGGATCCATACTCAATTGAGTTCAAGGACTCACTTGCTGATGCAGACCTGACCTAGGTATCAGTTCGTCCACGGGAGAACTTCCGGCGGATGACATCACCCCCGCGTAGGCCAACTGTAATTGAATGGCCTAAAGCCGTTATCTCATCAACGAAACATGAACTGTCAAAAGAAAAATCAAAGGACATCAAGGCCATGTTAAAATTCATGACTCCTACAGACCAAATGTTCATGAGTGGACTTATTGACTAAGAAACTTAGTTGCATGTGCAAGTTGATGGTCTATTGTGAAATGTTATGGCAATAATCTAAAGTTATAAAACTGATATTGTGGCCTGTACATCAACATCTGGACACTTAACTTTCAGATAATAGTCTATTGTCCTTAAAACTGTTTTATGAACTGATGATCAGAAAGGTGTTTGGACAAAATATTGCTTGTAGGTTTATTGTTTTGCTCTTCAGGGCAAAGTGTCAGTTACTACCAGGAAAGTGAAATTTATTTAGTTATGGTTGTATTGTTTAAGAATAAGTGATCTTTCTGTATTGATGTTATGAGGAATTCATGTTTTGAAATTGTTCCTGGAACTGTTGAAGTGTTCATTTATGATGCTCTTACGAGTTTGTTTTGCTATGAGATATATGTTGCTATGGACGAAATATATTTCTGCAACATCATACACATTCAGTGACAGGCATACAGGTACACCCAGGGCTGCAAAGAGTTTTAGGTTGACATCATTTCCGTGCTTAAATTTATAACAAAGCACTTTTTATCAATGTAGATTTATTGTTTTGCTCTATGCAGGAAAGTGTCAGTTACTACCAGGAAGTTAAACTTCATTTAGTTATGGCTGTGTTGTTCATGAACCCTTGGGCAGTGATGTGCATAACATTACTGTTACTTCATTATTTTGTGTCATGGAGGGACCTGTTTTATCAAGTCACAGTGTCAAGTCATTTTAACAATAAGTGATTTTTCTGTATTGATGTTCTGAGGAATTCGTGTTTTAAAATTATTCCTGAAACTATTGGAGTGTTCATTTATAATTATTCTTAAGAGTTTGTTTTGCAATGTTGCAATGGACCAGGAAGGTGAACTTCATTAAGTTATGGTTGTATTGTTCATGTTTATGAACCCACAAGCAGTGACTTGCATTAGATTATTGATACTTCAAGCTGATGATCTTAAAGAATTGTCTGACATTCAAGTTAATAATATAGTTTCTTTCATTGTATGAGTCCAAGTTAATAATATAGTTTCTTTCATTGTATGAGTCCATGTTATTTGGGGACCTTTTTTGGAGAAATCAAGATTTGGAGATATATTTAAAGAATAAGTTTTCTTTCGGTATTAATGTTGTGATATTGTTCCTGACATTTTGATATTTCATATATGAATGCCTATAACAGTTAGTTTAAAGGAGCTGTTGATGTGTTCATAATGTTCACAAGGGGAACTGATGATTTTGAGGAACTGGTGAGGTCTGACATCCAAGTTGATCATTTAGTTTGTTTCAAATCCACTTGTTCATGAAACAGTTATAGCTGTTGATATTTCAATTGATACAGTCAATTTCGACATATTTCTTCGCTTTTTACCAGATTGACCTAACTGATAATGATTTAAACACATAAAATAGAAGTCACATTGAGATGGAACAATATGGTTATGACAATTTCACTTATTTCTTGACTCAAATTGTTCCATGTCAAAACAAAAATCGGCTTTTTCTGATATTTCATTTGTTATTACTGAAAATTAAACATATTATAAGTTACTTTTTACAACCAGACAATAGTTCTTTTTATAA